CCTGGAATACTTTATACTGCCCTGTGATGACATGATCCGTGCTGTAATACTTCGTTTGCACCTGTGATGTCATCATCTGCCCTGGAACACTTCATACTGCCCTGTGATGTCATCATCTGCCCTGGAACACTTCATACTGCCCTGTGATGTCATCATCTGCCCTGGAACACTTCATACTGCCCTGTGATGTCATTAATAGGGTTGGGCTCGATGTTCGAGTCGAGCAAGTGTTCGTGTGTTCAGCGATGCATCCGAGCTCCCCACAAGGCCCTGTGCACCGCACAGTGCCTTGTGAGCCCTGGGCACAGTACTTTGTAAGAGCCATGATTGGACAAATTAATGATGACTTTGCCCAATCATGGCTCACCTGTCAGATGCCTTACAACTGTAAACAGTTGGGCGGAGCTAGCTAGCTGACACCGCTAGCTCCGCCCAATTGTTTATGTTTTGCCGACATCTGTCAGAATGCCATTCTGCGGGTGTTCGTCGCGAGCGGACGGGTCGGCGGGCGTCATTTAAAAAAAAAATATTTCTATTTATTCTTTCTTGTTTTATTTGTTATTTCGTCGAGTCGCCGTCGTCGTGGACAACGCTGGACGTCGTGATTGACCCTGGACTACGTCGGTTAAATAAAAGATTTGTCAAAAACTTGTCTTTTGGGGGTTTTTTTCAAAGGACTTTTTCAAAAGTCTGGTCTCTTTTTGAAAGCTTTAACCCTTTAGTGAATGGGTAGGGGTACAAGTAAGTAAATGGAAGGGTTCCCCGGAGGAAGAATCGATAATTTACTTTTTTATGACCCGCGGCGTCCCCTTTCGGGACATTCCATAGTCTGTGGGAAATGGGTCCGTAACTGTGTAAAACATAACAGAAGGTAGATCAGGTCGCAAAACACGTTTAAATGTGTGGACCAATTAAGTTCCTGCCAGACCGTATGTAGATAAACCATAAATTCATTTATTAAACATAAGTTATTTTAACAATAAACAGTACCGTACCACATCCCTGCACCAAAAAACTAAAAAACCTATTCGATAACTTAGGTTAAAACACACCAATGCATTCATACACTGCTGGTCGGTTAGCCTTTGAACCCACCTTTGGGGATATCAGTACACCCAAGGGTTCATTTTCATTGTGCAAAGTCTGCCAATAACCAGCACGTTTAGCGACCCTGGTGAGTCCGGTAAGATCTGCATATAGTGGGTGTGGGCACGGAGCCGATTGGAGCATATATTATGCCACTACTATGGTACGATGATCGGCTGGATTTGCATACTTTGAATCTTCTCACAAATCCTCGGTGTATAACAAATAGAATAGAAGGCTTACAAAGATACGGAGGCTGCTACTGGGACCCGTTATCTGGTTAAGCCTATTGTATTTCAATTTCCCATTAGAGTCATGTATATTAGCATCACTGACATGGGAGCATTATTGGATCCTACATAGAGATGGTTAGTGTATCCGTTTATCTTGATTTTTGTGACTCAGATGATCACCTTAGAGTCACGGTGTGCATGGTCACTTCTGTTTTTTGAAAAGATGGGATGACTGGCTGTCAGTATCATCAATCAAAGATCCTGAATATAACATTTCATGCTCAAAACTAGGGTTTCACAGATACCAAGTACAGTACTCAGTACAAGTACGAGTACAAGTACCGATACTTTTGAGCTCCAAAACTACACTAGAGAAAAATTCAAAAGTTAGGAGGCCGCTGTCATGTGTAAGGAGCACACGGAGCTCCTGGGGTTTGTACTTCTCTGTTTTATTGTACGATTTTGTTTTTATAAATATAAATAAAGGGATGCACCGATACCAGTTTTGTGAGTACGAGTACTGGTACTTGCCGAGTACTTACAAGTACGAGTACTGATACATTTTTGTTTATTGTCATGTGACAGTTTTTCTAAAACAATACAGACTAATGATTTCAGGACAGTGGTGGAGCCCCAGAGCCAGGTCCCAGCTGCAACCGCTGCAACCCTGGTAGTTCTCATGAAAATGCCAAGTATCGGCACTGGTATCGGAACTGGTATCGGTGCATCCCTACTCCAAAGTCCTCTTATATATATGATGTGTTTTTCTGTGACACACCTGTATATAACATTTAATAAATAAATACTGTTTTAATAAATCTTGTTAATTTAATATAATAATATTATTTTTAACTGTTCTAATAATATACCCTCTTTTATGAATAATCTTTGACCATGCCTGATACAACCATATTTATTTGAGCCACCCATTTATTTGGGGATACCTCTTATAATAATAATATTAAATAATTTCTCTAATAAAATATCTTTCCAAATTACGATTTTAATATATATGTATAGAAATTAATGCCCCAATCTATAGATAAACACTTTCCTTCTTCCCATAGGTATATTCCTGGATCATAATAACCATTAAAATAGAACTCACACATAAAACCTGTTTTTGTTTTTTGCTCAATTAGTATTATTTATTTATTATACCTGATTATGGAATCTATATCGAGAATTCTCCTTACCCCTGCTTTTTAAGAATAAGGTCTTTTTATACGGCTTTACTAATATAATTATCTATGGCTGTACTTATATGGTTTCATAAAACTATATGTTTTTATTGGGTGGTACTAATGATGACATTTTTACTGTATTTGGTTAGATATATTTATGGATGTATGCATAGCTTTTACTGATGGAACTAATTGTGATTTTTTTTATCGTATTTGCTAGATATGTTTTAAGGATTTAATTGTACCGCACATTTGTCAGATATGCTTAGGCACATAATTGGACCACATATTCCCATATTGTATTTGATTCCCTTATGCTATCGTTTTCCTTTGTTTCCTCCTATTGGTATACAATTAATTAATCAACCTATAGACTCTTATCCCTACAAAAATAATATCATCATTGCCGTAATTACTGACTCTACGGTTTCAAGGGGATATGAACATCATTAGCTAATAGATTTGTGCATCTTTTAGACAAACCCAGCACCAATTTGTACTTAAACTACCCTTGGAGGTGCTCACGTATGTTTAAAATCAATGAAAGAAAAAAACTATTTAAACAGACTGGACAATGACGTGGATAGACCTGCCATCCCTTGAAAACGTCTGTGTGACGAAACGCGTCGGGGGCGGGCCTATTCTTACAGTCATTTGATCCAGTCTAAAGGAATCACGCCTAAAGTGACCAGCCGGCTTTTTTAAACGTTAATATTTTTAGCGCTCTCTTAACTTGTATATGCTTTGTGATCGAAATAAACCTGGGTTTTATTACGCTATGAGCATATGCTTTATCTTTCTTACATGATTGGACATCCTACCGGGGGGACACCTAAAAGTAAGGATACTTCGTTTAAACACCTCGGAGAAACGGGAGCCCCTTCCTTCTTTGAAGTTCGATTGAAAATTTGAAACATCATAAAAAAATAAAAAAAACATTTTTTTTGGTTCTAGAGTTATCCAATTAATATCCTCACTCTCCATTAGCGCAAGTTCTTGCAATTATATTATCTTTTATATATATGCCTTTATGTCATGTCGGCAAGTACTCGGGTAATTGCACGGAGACCAGTGCGTTTTAAATTACAGATCGAGTGCTACGAGCTTGTGTAAACAGCTGATTTCAGCAAGGCACTGTAGAGTCTCCTGTGTGATAATGTATCATAGTTCGATTTCTATGTAACTTTTTCGGGTACTAATCATTTTCCCCATGTTTGCTCTCTGGTCTCAAGTGAGTAGTTTGTTTCTCAGTGTATTATCTTGTAGCCATCGCTGTATTTTCTCAATGTGGGTCATGGGATCGCTGTCAGGCACAAAAACATCGACGCGTTTCGTCCCCTCCTCTTGGGGCTTCGTCAGGACGTAAATACGTAGCGGATGCACATCCTTTATAAAGGGAACTTCATTGCCTCCGTTAATAACCCCGTCCGAACTTCTCAACGGAGTCTTGTGTAGAGTGAATGACATGCATATTTAGCCCATATATCTCACATTCATTTCCATCATTTAAAACAGAGAACTTTATGCTATTCAAATCCTCAGTTTGTTAGCGATATCTTTGGGATGACATTTCTGTGTTACTTATGCTTTGAAGTCTTTATCAATAAGTGGACGCTATATATCCTTATTGG